GGGGGGGGGTGGTGGGGGGCGGGGGGGGGGGGGCGGGAAGCAAGACTCCTAGAGTGCGTACTCCATTTGTACTCCAGCTGTACTCTAACTGTACTCCACCCATACTCCAACTGTACTCCAGCTGTACTCCAACTATACTCCATCCGCACTCTATCTCTACTCTCCTGTTACCAACTCTGCTGCGGTTCTTGTTTGACAGTATTCAATTAATAGCTTATATTCAGTGTAGGTAACACGAAAGATCTGCAGTTAAGAGAACTGAATCTTTTTCTAAATTTATATTACTGTTTTCATAACAATTTAGCGATATTAAGCCTAATTTTGATGTGTACTGGAAAATATCACCTTGAGTCTATAAAATAAAAGCTCGTTTGAAAATAAAGTACGGGTATTACAAGGTGCTTTTTGATCTCTTAAGTTCGAAGGACCAGCAGATACTTGAATCCTCTTTTTTAGCAAATAGGGGTGGCACTTTAACTTTAAACTTTTAATGTTAAAGTGGTTAAAGTTTAAACTCGCACTTTAAACTTTGAAAGTTAAGGTTAAAGTTTAAAATAGTACTGAGCTTTAAAAGTTAAAGTTTAAAGCATAACTTTAAGCTTTATGAATGCAAGTTAAAGTAACCATACTTTAAGCGTTTACTTTAAAACATTTAAAGTAAATGGTTTCCTATAAAACAAATTTTTCTTAAAAATTCATAAAAGTGAATAAACATTTATGAAGGTATCCATAATTGTACATGCGCCGTGTAACGGGATCATTCATAGGTAATCTACTATATAAAGGGGTACCCTTGAGTCATCATCTGTTGTGTAGCAAGGGTACTCATGGATCATCAGCTGCTACATAACTAGGGTACCCTTGAGTTATCATCTACTATATAACGGGGATACCTTTAGATCATCATATACTATATAATGGGAATATCCTTGAATCATCATCTGCTATATAACGTGGGTACCCTTAAATCATCAGCTTCTATATAACGAAGGTATCCTGGCCTCACCAACTAGTATATAAAGGAGAACCCGTACAACAATGCATGCAATATATTACACAGCTGCCCATATGCCAATGTAGGCTATGTATCGACAGTACTCATCTGCCTTCATGAAGTATATAGCTTGGTTACAAATCTTTCAGGGATTTGATAAAGAAGTACAAATAACTGTGCATGGACAATATGAGGAAGTGTGGAGAACTCATCAACACCTATTAAACGGTTGGAATAATCGGCTCCGCAATATCATCGCATAGTAGTCTGTGCCTGTGCTCATGGCGTATGCAGTGTAGCTTCTCATAGTCTTCACTGGATATCTAGGAATAGTGACTTTATGCTGATAACAGCTTCAAGAAGACATACAGGATAATTCATGTATTTTTGCTCATTTTTATTTCGACTATTACACAACGAAGAAAAAAGTTACACCTTCAAACGATGTTCGATATGAAAGCCACGAGCTTTATATATAAGAAATACTCGTTTTGGCCAGTACGCTAAAACTTTATCGATATAAACTTGATCAATCTTTTTCCACTCATGAATCAGTTTTTTTTCAGTTCATTTAAAGTTTCAATGTTTTGTTTGTTCAGTCGTTGTTTTAAACATCCCCAAACAGCATAATCCGTGGGAGCTGTATCTGGTGACTTGGGCATCCATTCTTCGGGTTTCACATAATCAATCTTTGATTCATTCAGAGTGGNTCCTAATTATACAGAACGATAGAGAATTTCACAAGCTTTCAGAATATGTCATTATTGAAAAAAATGCCTTTTTACAGTGACAATATGCCCAAAATACCTTGTGCAAGTATTTTTTCCACGGGTACATATGTATATTTTTCGTTACATATCTTTCAATAACATCCTGTAAGACCTAATAGCTTCTGATAATTAGATTACACGAGATGAAATTATGAACTACTCATGAAATCATTCACCGGAAGCTTTCAACCATCACCTATCTGATACCGTTTATACTAATTATTCGATGTTTCATACAAGATGGAGGTGTGCGATAGTGTTATCAAATGTCTCAGATGATGAGAACAGACTACAGCTCGTTTCAAGTAGAGTTCGAAATCAAAAATAGTACTACTGCTTGAAAGTTGTCTTTCATACTGCATCCTTTAGTATTTCATGCATTAATTAGAATTGTTATTGAAAGATATTTGACTCATGTATTTCTTCTAGTATATGCAAATTGTTCTAATTCTAACAGTTATTTTCTTATGTACAACAGTATTATGAAAAGAGCACTTCAATTTCATTTTAGTTTTTCTTTCTGTTATCAGCCGAAAAAAAAATCATTTAGAAACTCTGCTCTCATTTTATTGAGACAAAATTCAAAGCTCTCTTACATATGATTACTATAACTACTTTTTTAGATTACTCAATGGTACAACTTTTCAAATTAAACAATACAGAGCATCATTTTTAGACAACTTCCAGGATTTTTGGTATATCATAGTAGTTTGATGAAATACATTGTAATTTATAGTAAGCTATCGAAATAAAATGTGAATTGTAGCTCAAAGTATTTGAGAGATCTTAGTCACTGCGAAAATTAATGATGCATTAAAAATATGGTTCATCATTTATATTTGTGAATTTTATTTATAAGAGCAAAACATAGAGATCAAATGAACACAATATTTCTCTCAAAATCCATAATTATCTCAATAATAAGCAATGTTTACTTTGTTGTCATCGTAGTCCAATGACTATATAGCGATCGGAAAAGTCTTTCGCCAGTTTTGTTTTCCATTCGAACAAGAAAATGAGCACATTTTTCTATTGATAGTTTATATTCATCTCCGTGAAAATTTTCCGACCTATCGAATTTTAATGGTTTTCATTTTGGTTATCGAACTATTCAAACAGAATGTGTCGATATTAAATGCATCCCGATCTCAATCTGTCAGACTCTTCTGATGAAAGAAACCAAAGATCAAATGAAAAATGTGTGAGACAAACAATTTTCTAACTTGATAGGTTCATGTAGCTGAAAATTAATGCTAAGTGAGATGGTCATAGATTTAAATTACTCTATCAGCTACTTGAACTCCGCCAAACGCCCACAAAACAGCTTTATTGAATCTAAACCATATTCACTAAAATTGAAGCAATGTTACTCGACAAACTTGCCAATTGAGTCATAAATGAGACCATAAGATATGAAACTTTTCTAGGAATGCAATATCAATAGTAAAAAACAAAATAAAATATGACAGAGACATTAAAAAAAGAAATAAAGATCAAAAAGCTTCTTTGTTAAACTGTCAGTTTCTATAGGACGAATGAGAAAGAAGAACTTCAGATTCGGACATGAACTTACAGTTACTATTTTACGCGAAGCTGGGTAAAACTCGCAAATTTCAGATTCAAAAACTTACGAAGTTTGCCAGACTTTGGAATATATGCATGGAGTAAATAGTAAAAAACAATTTGATACTAAGCTGATAATGTAAGCAAAAGATTTCTTATCTGAAAAAAGATTTAAGCTGGAAGTACTGATAGTCACAATAAAGTATTCACCTTTTAGAATCAAAATCGAAGATTTGTTTGACCTGAGAAAATTTCTTGCGCCATGATATGATAATACAAAATAGAAAACTTTCAGCTCGAGTATAATTACTACTTCTCATCGGTTGCTGCTTCTCTCGTGAATTGTAGATTAGATATGTTTTTTCTTTGTTGTAGACAAAATTGTCTGTCTATCAACATCGCTATCATTCAATAAGTTGTTACAGTAAAGCTTCTCTTTGTGAACACCGTCGGGAGAAACCAAAATCGTTCAGGATAACAAGGCGATCGCTTAAGAAAGTTTCAAACAAAAACAAATCAATACATTAGTTATAGTACTTTTCACATATTTGTGCGTGTTTTTTACGTGATTCACTAGATTTTTTACTATTTTCAAGAGATTACATATTGTTACATAGATCAAGTTAAACATTACATGGGATCCTACTTAGACAGGTTTAAAAAAGTCACAAATCGATCGTTGTTTGGAAATGTTCGCGTTCAGATAGACGCTAATAAATAATAGTATCATTAATGTTTTGACTAAAATCATCTATATACTTTCATTTCATAATCATTAACATATATGTTGTTTCTTTTCAGAATATTTGAAGTAGCACCGAGAGATACTTGGAACTTGTCTTTTATTCCACGAAGAGATAAACCGCGTTCTTTTTCGTTAATGAGATCTATCTTTTGCTCTAGATCAAGCTCGTTTCTGAATTTCAAAGCTAATATTAAGATGTGATGCAGCCAACAGAAATCGCAAATAACATTTTTTTCTTTTCTATCTATTGAATTGCAGAACCCATCAGATGGATAGTAATAGCCGCCACATCATCGTAAAATTGATTTAATTACATAGCGCTCTCTATTTTTGTTCATAATAGTAAGACTGAAATATACAGTTGGGACCAGAAAAAAAACGTTCACATACTGAATGATGGGATAATCATATAGGAGAGGTCGAAAGCCAGCAAAATTCGCTCTGAAGATCGGAGAGTGTTTGGTATAACAGGTTGATCATACAAGAGAGATGTTCACTAATAGAAGTTTTACGGTATTAGTTTTGAAATTTCCAATTTGCCATTGTGCGATTTTTAAGACTGCGATCACATGGGAACACTGCAACAATGGAATCTTCTTCTTTATTTCGTAGTAACACATGATATCACACCCAAAAAACGACAGGAGAATATTCATATAATTATATGCATAAGGGCAATGTATATGTCTCAAAGAGAAGACGCAAATACAATGATATACATATATTGGATCGAATGCAAAAGGTATGGCAGGTTTAAGTGAAAAAGATGAAGATAGGTTTATCGATGCAATGACGAGAAACCGTAAAGTTGTACTGTGATGATCTGGTAGAAGCGAAAGAGAGAAACTACTGAAAAGAAACTGAAAAAAGACATGATAAGAATACTATGAAGACGAAAGCATGTCACAAACACCGATACAACATCAAACATGAAGAGACTGTGTTTATGAATGACATTCATACGAAATGTCGAAAATTTGGCGCCTTTTACTCATTGTGCGTGAAATGTTGAACCATCAAGTGTACTTGCATGTCCTTCTCCAGTTCGTATGAAGCATTTCAAGAACACTGCCTTGAACTGTTCGCGAAAGCTTTTGGATACAATGATGTATAAATAGAATGTAATGCAATAATTTAAATAAAACAAGAATATACGTGATACAAAATTTGTGAAGGACTCGATCCTGATGCGGTCTAAGCTCTTGTTCGATATGTTACTTGTGAGTACAAGGTATAAAGCTTGAATCGGGTATGAAAAAGACAGAAAGAACCCAACACATACTTCTGCTAAGACAACCTTTAATAGATTCACGTCACGCTTGTGTAAAATAGGCTGTCGTGAGTTGGTAGATCCAGGAAGAGGTTGAACACGGGAGCGAATGCTTCTTAAATTCTTCTGAATGAGATTGGCGAAAATAATCATCAGGATCGGTAGAAGGAGTCCAAAAATAAAGATCTGATATATACTAAAGAAAATCCCATAAGTTCCGGAAATACCACAAACACCATTTGTGATGGTCTGAAATATGGGTAGATGGATTGAAATTATCATCCAGAAAAGAGTTGCACCGACGACCATCTTTATTGCAACTTTGGGCTTGCTGAATGAGCGAATATACGCGTTAGTCGAGCTCAATGCACAACGGTCAGCACTTGCCAGTACAATCATTGTTCGATACAAAACGGAGGATATTTGTAAGATGTAACCTCGGATGCGGCAAAGCGGCAGTGAAATACTGAATGGATCAGGGGAATAATAGGCAGTATACACATTAGTGAACGGTCCCCAGTTGACGCCAAGAAGACTGAAGACAGCAGCAGACAACAGGTAATATGAACAGGAACTTTGTCGAAGATGTTTTTGTGTGAATGTGACAATGATAGATATATTACCGAAATTACCTAGTGCCACTAAGACAGGAAACCCATAGCGTATAAAAGATTGCTGTATGATAGGAAGAATATCAGTTGCAGAAGGCATAACGCTGAGCGGTTCACGATGTGTCTTGTAGGAGTCTGTGAATTTATCAATGTGAAAAGAGATAATACAGCAGTCAACTTTTTGATTCTTAACAAGAGAAATGCGAGGAGAAAAAAGGGAGTCATCAAAATTAATTGAATTAATGAACTGCATCAACGGCAAAGTCAAGTGATTATATTAAATTTGTAAAAAAACACTTCCGTTGCCTAATGAAGATATTGCGGAAGAACGATAATAAAAGAAATGAATACGTTTAGTCATTTTTCAAGGATACTCAAATATCTTACTAATTTACTCATGAATGTGCAATAATGACTCTTGATTGTTTCAGAAGCGGACAAAGTTTTACTAACTCGGATGAATCCTTATTTCATGTACGCGTTTAGAACAGGAAAATATATGAGTGAATTGCGCTGAGATTGTACGGTTGTTCTGCGAACACAAAAAATCTTATAACTCCACTTCCAGTCAATCGATTTGGACAATATTTTTTTTGAAATGCTCCATTCATTTCATCCTACTTACCGCAAAACTATCAAGGTTTTTGGTTGCATGGTTAAGAATTTTTCAAGCATGAAAGATTATACTGAAAGCTGTTCGACGGCATCTATCGACGGAAATTTCTTTTTATATCCTTTAATTCTGACTGGATAAATAGAATTTTTTATGGCGATTGGTAGCTGGGGTTCTCCACTTTTTGACAATATAAATTGATCAAAACTTCGATTTTTATTTCCTGATCAAATCTCGCAAAAATATCAAAACATACACTTTGACCATTTTTTGTCACAACAGATTAAATTGCAGCTACTAAAGACTATTTTCAAGCTAACTCAAATTTCTTTTTGTTGCTTGATAGAGTAAAGAGACAGAAACATTTTTATGAAAAAGGAAATATCAAAAATATTCAAGATCAAACAAAAAAGTAAAAATGAAACAGATAGATAGCGATTATCGCACTAAATGTCACGACAGATTTTTAATTTTGATTCTTTGATTTCTCGCTAACTATAAGCGGATAGTCAATGTTTTTTTTATCTTTTTTGACTGGCTTTATGGTGCATCTGTGGTAAAAATTTGAGCTCTTAACTAAGTATCGTTCACGAGAAAATAGTATTTTAGTCAAAAAATGTCACAACAGATTTTTTCGTATCAAAATGTCACAACAGATTAAAATGATAGATATTCAGAGAAAACAAAAATTTATTTAGTTTTCTTTCACTTGTCATAACTTGTATTGACTAAGAGACGTTTATAAATATATTTCTGAGGATCCTTAATGCCTTGAACGACCGAAAGTTCTGCCTTTTTCTTATTTACTACCATGCAAAATGCTTATATGCTCTAAGAAACTTAAACTGTTCATAAAAGCTGGTATCTGACCATCTACAAATTTAAACATTTTTTTATTTGGTTTCAGATTAAGTTATTGCTTTCAAGATGAGAGGGAAGAAGAAAAAGGAAAAATAATAATGCTACATATTGCCAAAGATATCGTCAGAAAATTCAATTAAAACGTTTACAATCAAAACGTTTTGATAAAAACTATAGAAAATATACAGCAGCGAGACAAGCATTATATCGAACAAAGAAGAAACAACAACAAGAACAGCAACCTATACAATCAACATCAACAATTACAGTATCAAAAAGTGATCTTCGAAAGGGTGAAGGTATCCAACGTCGTCGTCAAAACACAAAAAAATTTATATTAGAGATAAATAAATTACAAAATTCCAATAAACAATTACAAATGGAAAATAAGAAATTGAAAGAACAACTAATCTGTTTGACATCATCATCATCATCATCATCATCATCATCATCATCATCATCATCATCATCATCATCATCATCATCATCATCATCATCAACAGCAACAACAACATCATCATCGTCATCCAAACAATCAAATGCAGATAGTACAACAACTATATCACCATCAACACTTTTTTTTTCAAAATCTTAGTCCAAATGCTAAACGTCATGCTAAAGCACGTACGGTTGCACAAAACCCGGATTTACCTTGTGGTAGTAATAGTAGTATTCGGAATAAGTTTGGAATCAATGTAAGTTGTGGATTACTTCATCCCTCTTCTATTATTTAGAAGTGTTTATTCTTTAGTTGTCCCATCAAAATGTATCATCAACAAGAACGACAACTGTATCAAGAGAACTTGCGGATGCTGTCGAACAGTTTTTGAATAATGATGAGATCACACGATTAACACCAGATAAAAACAAAATCATCGATGGTAAACAAGTACGATTTTTGTTAAATCAACTCATAAACCTTCATCAAAAGTTTATTTTGGAAACAAACTATGATTGTTCGTATTCAACTTTCACAAGACATGTACCATCCTACATTGTTTCATCTAAACCAAATAAATGGGGTAGTTGTCTATGTATAACCTGTTTGAATCCACAAATTAAATCGGAAAGAATTCACCAACTGAAAAATAATCATCCTATTTTGAATTTTTTGTCGTCGTTGATGGCAAACGACTTAACAACAATAGCTAATGATGAAAAGAAAGTCGAAGAGATATTGAAAGAACTGAATTTATTAAAAGCAGAATCTTTTTTGGTTACTTATGTAGAATGGGTTCAGAAGAAAAGTGCTAGAAGTAGTGGTCTGATTTCAACGAAAACAACTATGACAGATAAACTGAATGTATTTTGTACGAAATTTAGTGATGAAATATCTGTGAGTATCTTTAAAGAAAAGTCGAACAAAGGCAACAATCTCTTGTTGCTATCTATATAATGTTTAGAAACTTCAAAAGCATATGGAACTAGTTTATGCTCAATTTAAAAGCGCTAAATTAATTCGGCAATCAGCACTCACAAGTGACAATGTAATCACCTTGCACATAGATTGGTCAGAGAATTATAATTTAAAACAAGCAAGAGAAGAGCGTTGTAAGTTACGATGAAAACTTAATGCGCTTTAGCACTAATTGAATTTTTTTCTATTTAGCTGCATACTACTATGAACAACATGTCTCTATAGCAGCAGGATATGTTTGGCGAAAAGACAACTGTTTTAGTTTTGGATGTTTATCTGATGATACAAGTCATCTGTCAGAAAGTACATGGGCGGCAATTCATGATTTATTGGATGAGTTATTAAGTGGAAAAGATCTTAAACACATTACTGAGTTGAATATAATATCTGACTCTCCATCAAGTCAATATCGAAACAAAACTACGATTTTCTTTTTAAAATATTATGCTACTAATAGAAAAATTACGACGAGATGGTTGTTTTTGGCTAGTGGTCATGGGAAGGGTGTAGCTGATGGTATCGGCGCTACTATTAAGCGGTTATTTGATAATTCAGTTCGATTAAATCCAGATGAATCATTTAAAGGTGCTGAAGATTTAATGAGTAAAATAAAGAATTCGACAAATATTCGCCTGTACTTATATAAAAAAGAAGATATTCATTCATTAAGAATGCAAATTCCATCATTAAAATCAATTAAAGGAACGTCAAAGTTTCATGAAATTATTGTTAAACCAAATGGAGAAATATTTACAAAAAATAAGTCAGATGAAACAAAAACTTTGATACACACAACCTTTTAGATTTTGAATTAATAGTCAAAACATTTAGTGATTTGAATGAACAGTTTTATATATGAAACATGAACAATGGTTAACTTGGGTATTTTTTTTATAGTAAACGTTGTTTCTTTTCTCGAAAACAAGCATTGATATTGATAAAGATTCTGCTTCTCATTGATATCGCGAAACAATGTTACCACGCACTTAGTTCTAGAGGGCGTTCCTTGAAAAATATGCGTTTTTAATGATAACAATTATATTATACTATCACAAACGCATGAATACATGTGAATAAAGTTATGCTTATGTCTACTGTATTCTCCTTTTGAAAATGATTCGTCTCATATATTGTAGCAAAGTCAAATATTTTCAATCAGAAATTTTTTATTGTCAAAAAATTTAGAACCTTTCATATACATCGAGATTTCAATTTCTCCGAAAGGGAAAACCTGACAGTCGGGAAAATAGTTGACTCATATACAACAAATAAAGCTCTATCGAATACACAGGTCAAATCTTTCCTCTGCTCACTTTTATTTTTTTCGATTTTTTTTCTTCGAACCGTACAATCTCAGCGCAATTCACCCATATATGTATATAGAACAACTGAAAGATTTTGGTACGATTGAAATTTTAGCTGTATTTCACTAATAACTTTTGTTTAGCTGAACCGATTTAGACGAATTTTTTATATGTTACTGGTCTTTGAGCGTCCTACTGTCATACCAAATTCCAGCTTTCTAGTTCCTACAGTTGCTGATTTATCGGATTTATACTGCCAGAAAATCGTATTTTACATGAAGATGTACTAATAAAAGGATGTTTTGGGGTGTAGATGTTGATGTGGGTGTGATACGGCTACCTTATTAGTATGATATTTTGTAAGACTGCGGATGTTAAGGAGAAAGTGGGATCGGAAATTATTTCTTGAAGTGAATAGATATGGTTAGCACTGTTTATGATACTGAGTTTCAGGGGGACTTTTCTCTACGGTTCTTTACTGTGTTTGCATTAGATGGTTTCCTTTCTGAGTGCAGTGGCTTCATTTTTGTGTTTATCTTGGTTTTCTTGTTGCATTATTTTGGTTGAGGATTCCATAGGATGGATATTATATTGATACACAGAAATAAAAAGAATAGAATGATAAATCTTTTTAGATTTATCAGGATGCAACGGATAATATACTCCTCTCTACCGTTTATCAGAATGTGCTAAACCCTTTGATCTATCCCCAAAAATAGTGCAAAAAAACGGTTTATCAACTTAAAATACCCGTTTTAAAAGAGTTATCAAAACGTTTATAGAGTTCAAAAATCATTAAAGGGCATATTATCCGTTGCATTCTGTTAAACCCTTTCAAGCGGTAGATCAAATTTAAAAACCAATTTATTTCAATATAGATATTGCTTTATAAACGGGTAAACCATAAAGAAATACCCTTGCATTACCTTTTGTAAAGCTGATAGAAAGCGTTTAGTTGCTTCATCAACTCGAAAGCGGTGTGTCAATCGGTAGCTCAAAAGGTTGATCAGTTTCATCAAATATATAAAGGTAAATCAATGGGTAGTTCAGACGGTTGATTAGTTTCATCAACTATAAATAGGTTTATCAAAGGGTAGTTCACAAAGTTGATCAATCTCATCAACTGCACCATAAACAAAGGAGAAGATAATAAACCAGTACAGAGTTTATGAAAGGGTAGGTAGAAGAGTTTGGAGGTACTCTCAATTGCATCAAGAATCTTACAAAAGCAGGAAAAGACGCTTCGGAGAGAATTACTAATGGTTGCAGGCACTAGAGGTGCTGGTTTAGCATTCGCATGGCATTAAAGTAATGCTAACACTAATACTTTTTCATGGGTTCTAAGAAAAAGTATTGCAATTTGTATTGGCTGATATTATGCTGAAGCGAAGCCGGTATCCCTAAGTTCAATGCGTTTTTTGTTATAATTTTAATGCAAAAGCGTTGTGGCTTCCATCAAGTTCATGCAATACAATGTTAACTTAGTAGCAGCTAAAATGCTTTTGCATCAACATTGTAACACAAAACGTATTGAATTTAGTCAGATATACCGGCTCCGTTGTAGCATAATATCAGCCAATACAAATTGTAATACCTTTTTCTTAGGATCCAACAAAAAGGCATTAGTGTTAGCATTACTTTAATGGAATGTGAATGCTAAACCAGCACCTCTAGCGCTTGCAACCATTAGTGATTCTCTCCGAAGCACTTTTTCCTGCTTTTGGAAGACTCTTGATGTCGTTGAGAGTATCTACAAACCCTTCTAAATGTCATTCCAAGAGCCCTTATGTGCCTTTGAAAATAATAAGAAATAAATTATTATTCTTCGAACTATTATAATGCAATGCTGATGTTAAACTAGCATTCCCAGCAAACGCTTATAAACAGCTACTGACGGCACGTATGAACATATTCAAAACATTATAATTACTGACGAAGGTTGGACAGAATGTTTCACATCTTCAGAGAAAATAGGAGAGGATACCTGACAGACGCATATGGTGTAAGAAGCCCTACAAGACGAAAAAAACCTAACACCCTTCAAATTTTTTTTCGAACACTACTATGAAAAAGACGATGTGAAATTAGAACTTGATTCAATGCTTTCATTGATATTTATTCATGACATGGCCTGACAACGGCTACATTCGAAAATAACCAAAAATGATCAAAATTTTTATTAGCTATTTCATTTCTTTACACTATATGAAGCTTCCAACCTATTCGTATTCAAAGACAATGATGGAAAAAGATTTAACCAAAAAATGTCTCATACTATTTCTTACAACACATACTAAATGAACATAAGCATATCTAACTGAGAAAAGAAAAAAGCATAATATGAAAATACTTAGGGCACAACCAAAGTAGTGACGTCATCATCTTATTTCGTTAAGAGAAAGCTTCAATACATATTATTTTTCTTACTTAATGAGAGAGAACACAATGCTCTATTTTTCTATAACATTTGAACACCTTTCACTTGAAATCATAATAATAAAATTTGGAGAAGAGCTGTTTTTTGTGTACCACTCCAATAATATGAGTGGCAGATTATGTGGCCACACTTTGCACTTTTTTCCATTCCAATGTTCACTCACTTTATAAGTCTTATTAAAAAAGAAAATGTACCATTAAATATAGTGTGAATAGCTCTACAATTTTTAAATAACAGCCTATTTTATACTTTAAATAAGAAACAAAAAAAGTTTCTCTTCGTATAAGAAAAAATGATTCTTTTCGGGATAGTCGGATAGAACTTTACTTTTTTTGGAAACAAAATTTAGCAATTAAAATAAGCGAGTTTACAAAGATTTTAACGCTTTTGATGCTGTATCTTTTGATGCATTTTGTTATAAATAAAAAACATAAGGTGATAAAACGATGAAATAAGAAAAAATCAAGTCACTTCGTAGCAAAAAATGTCGTTTTAGAATGATCGAAAACTGGTTGCTCAACATTTTGCTTATTACGAGAGCAAAAAGTGCAACTATAAAATAAACCGTCCTATGTAAATTTCAGAGCTTTTCACGCTTCATCTAATGGTATATTTTAGTTTTTCAGTGGAACCTATTAAGTAATTAAAAATTAGAATGCAAAGCATGTCCATTTATCCGGCCTCACATGTTGGCGAAGTTGTACACGAAAACAGTTCTTATTGAAATGTTATTATTATGATATCATTTGAAAACTGATAAATAACACAGAAAAATAGAGTACCATTTTCTCTCTCACTACATAAAAAAAGAAAATCTATTGAAGCTTTCTATCAAAGAAATGGAATGATAACATCACTACTTTTGGTGTGCCCTAAGGGTCTCATACTGTTTCTCACAAAAGATTCTTAGTCAAGATTAGAAATCGGGAAATAAAGAAAAAGTCGTAAGCTGCTTATTTTTTGGACTAAATGCTTGAGAAGAGATGAAGTAACTACTGCAACAGCTCAAATCCAAAAAAAGCAAAAATATAAACTAACCTGTTTAATTGTGTTGTTTTTCATGCTATATCGCAATATTGTTTTAATGTCACACTGCATTTGATGTTCCATTCAAACCATTTTTGTGTCAAATTATCAATTAAGTTGTGTTTCACGTAATTTTGTTGGCATCAATTTGTTGACTGAATGGCTTCATACGAATTGAAGATGGAGAAAAAGGATCTGTCTCGGTGTTTTTGCAAAACCTAAACTTTATGATAAAATGAATGAATATAGTGAACAATCAATATATGTTTAAAGCAAAAAGAATGACTACTCAAAAGTATCCAAAAGACTTAACCAGAACATTTAATTGACTTTCTCATCAAAGATCTTTCATGACGGTCACACTCTCTAACTGTGGAACAAGACAGAAAGAGTTGAACAAAAATATTTGGTTCTCTTTGTCATGGAAGGTATTCAATCAAGATCAAAATATCTAACTCAAAAGAAGAAACACGATTTAAATCAACTTCTTTAGCTCTCGTTAGGGCGTGGGTGTGGGGTGTGCGGGGTGTTATAGCTACCACAATACCTTTGCTATTTCGATCTTGTTGAAACTAAATCTTCTCAATTTGTTTGGGTCATATTATAAAAATTAAAAATATGATGAATTTTTTGTAGGCAGCCCATGTTATTGATGAAGTAGAGTAAGAAATTTTTTGTTGAAGTGAATGAGATATTGTCAGAAGTTATCATAAGACTGAATTGGAGGTTAAGTTTGGTCGACTTTCTTTTTGTGCTTCTTATTTGACTGTTTTAGCTTCGGAATGCAGTGACGCGCTTCCTTTTTTTTACTTTGGCTTTATTTGAGTGTATGTTTTGTGAGGATTTCATGTTTTGAGTGTTGTGTTGGAATATCCATCTGAAGCGTTGTTCCGCGATTCTGTAAAAGTGGCGATTTATATTTGTTTAATATTGGTGATGATATCTACAAAGATGAATAGTTATGAATGGCGTTGAAGTTGTAAGTGTTCTGGATGAAGACAGATTGAGAAATTTTGTGCAAAGTCATAATATGGAT